ATGGGTTACTTCTTTTTTTTTTTAACTTTTCTTTCGTTTTATTTCTTTTTATTTATTCTGTTTCTTTTTTTCTTTGTCTTTTGTTGTTCTACTATTCCTTCATCAACTTCCGGTTCATAAATTTCTCTATAGTGATTATTTTTCATTATTTTCTAAATTCCTCCTTATACTTTCTTTCTTTCTTTCTTTCTTTCTTTCTTTCTTTTCTTTCTTTCTTTCTTTCTTATGGTTACGTTCATTTTCTTTCTGCCTCGTCATCTGTGATGATAACAATCATAGATTCTTATGCTTTTTTTATCCATTTGATTTTCTTTCTTTTTTTTTCTTCTTAATACATACCGACGCTTGGTTGAAGGTAATTAATCTCTTATCTATCGGAAGTCAAGTAGACCCAATTATTTAATTATCTATACTTTTTTTTGTCAATATCTTTCTTTCTTTCCCTCTTTCTTTCTTTCCCTCTTTCTCTCTTTCCCTCTTTCTCTCTTTCTTTCTTTCTTTCTTGCAGTTTATTTTATTTTATTCTCTGTATTTCTGTTGTACTTCTGTTTCTTTTCATGCGCCATGTCCTTTCAGGACGTAGGCGATCATGGCTCTCCTTTATCCCTTGCTGTTCTCACCAAGTTCCTTCCTTCTACCACCTCCCCCAGACCACGTTCTGTCATCCACTTCCTTAAGTCCGCCAGGTATGTCATGCGTTATTTTCCTTTGTCTCTCTTTCCCTCTATTCGACCCTTGAGTATCAGATTCTACAGACCCTCCATCCACATGTGTGTCCCAGAAACTTCAGCTGCCTCTTCCTGATGTTAAGTATAAGCCTCCTCCTTGTTTGCAACCCTCTCGAAGACCTCATCGTTGCACACTCCGTTCATAATTCTTTCCGATTCTTTCTTTCTTTCTCTCTTTCTTTCTTTCCCTCTTTCTTTCCTTATTTCCGATTCTTTCTTTCTTTCTCTCTTTCTTTCCCTCTTTCTTTATTTCTTTCTTTCCGATTCTTTCTTTATCTCCCTCTTTCTTTCTTTCCCTCTTTCTTTCCCTCTTTCTTTCCCTCTTTCCGATTCTTTCTTTCTTTCTCTCTGCCTTTCTTTCCCTCTTTGTTTGTTTGTTTGTTTCTTTCTTTCTTTCTAGTTTTGTTTTTCATTTCCTTATCATGCTTAATTTACTTTTATTTCCTTTTTAATTATATATTTTCTTTCTTTTAATTTTATATTAATATTTAGATTTTATTCTTCCAAGTTGTTCTTTCTTTTTTTCTTTTCTTTTCCATTTTTCTTTTCTTATAATATTCAATTCCCTATTTGCAATATTCGGACTATTATCCATCTTTGTCGCCATATTTATTACAACGTTTCGGCTGTTGTACGCTCCGGCCTTCTTCAGGTGGTTGGAATGTCGAACTTAACCCTCTATTTCGCTCACTGGGGTAGACTGTTCTAGTTCCACGTGCCATGTTTAATGGATGTCAGTTATCAGTTATCTCCTGTTAACTCCCCTCTCCAAGTTCTCCACTACCTTAACCGGGTATTGAACTTACTCTTTGTATCCTGTCACTGGATCTAACCAACGCCTTTAACCATTGTATCATGTGTCCTTGTCAGTTAAGGCATGACATCTTTCTTTTTCAACATAATATCTTCCTTTTTCAATTCACTGAAACCAACACGTGTTGGTTATGACGATAAACTTCAACCCACAGCAAGGCCTCTAATCGTGAGGTTTTGAGGAGCGTCGAACCCCCTCTTAATTGCTGTTATTCTCAGCTTGACCCTAAAACGATGTGGTAGCTCCTGTTAGACTCACAGCTATGGACAAATAGTTAACCCTAATTTTGCGTGAAAACGCTATGAAATTATAAAAATACATTTTTATAGTAAAAATACTAGCAATATATTTTAAAAAATAAAATTGCCAGTAATACATTTGACTCTCGACAAAACGCCTTTTTAGGAAAATACGTCAATGACACCTGATCTACAGATTGGTTTTGTTGAAACTTGACTAATGCATGGAATAATAATGCAACACAAAATGTACTTAGAACAAAATGTATTGAAACAAGAAAGTGTACACAATATTTACATATAGTCTTTTGTATATTCCTGGTAAGACCGTTCCTGGAGAATGTGTTGACTAAGTCGCAGTCGAGCAGAGTCTCTGGTTGATTCTCTTTATTCCTCCCTCTCTTCCCGTACCAACCATATTTATATGGTCGGTACTCCACTATGCAAATTAGGTGGATCCGACCACAACAGGTTTCTTACAAAGAATATATATTCTATTCATACGAACCTATCTTAAAAATCATGTTGGCATTAAATAAACCACTGAGGTGTTGATATGTCGTAAAACAAAATAAACCAAACCAACCTAGTAGAATAGAAGTCAGATTTCATAAAATCTCGATTGACCACATATACTTGGGTATGGCGATAAACTAGATCCGGCAGCAAAGCTTCTGATAGGAACGTTTTAAGGAACATGGAACCACCTCTTAATTGCTGTTGTTCCCAGGTCCATCCCGAACAGGGGTGGTAGCACCTGTTAGGGACCCAGCTATGGGCAAATAGTTAACCCCCAAACTTGTATCAAAACACTATAAAATTATAGAAATAGATTTTTATGATAAAAATACCAGCAATACATTTTTGGAAAAAAATTAAATCATTCTATTTATAGGAACCTATCACCAAAAAGCTTTTTGACATTGAATAACCCATTGAGGTGTTGATATGTCATAAAACAAAATAAACCAAACCAAAGTAGGAGAATGGAAGTCGGCTTTCAGAAAATCTCGAAAAGGGATTAGTGCTGGTCCGCCTACGCATTGGTCACATGAGAATAACACACCTCTACTTGTTTTTAGACCTCACAATCTCCAAAAAGTGGCCGGTGAGGACATCAACAATTCCAGTTGTGGTTGGAGCACTCGGATTGGTTGGGAAAGGTCCCGATAGACTAATTGATGCCCTTGACTTAAGAAACACAAAAAATTGTATTCACAAGTAGAGCTCGCTCTTTGCGAAGGGCTTTGGCATTTCTAACCTTAGGTCTTTGGCTGTGACCCGGAAAGAAATCAATTTACAACGGAAATCAAAGGAAATAAAATAAAAATAATAATAACATATGGACTTGGAGTCGACGAAAGGTCGTACCACCAGAAACCAGAGAAGCTTATCGAAAGCGACCCCGTCAACCTCGAAACTGACTGTAAACGCGAGGGCACAGAATCAGACATCACCGTCTTTGATAAAGAAACTAGAAAATATTTCCTCATCGACGAGTCCGAGAAGAAATATTGTGAGAAATAAAGATATTGGAAGAGGACATGTCAATCATTATTATCTCTATTCTACTATCAAGAGCCATAAGGATTACACCAGTCCTAAATCATGACAGATTAAATATAACAAGGAAATATTGTAAGATAATTTATGAAAGGACAAACATGGGAGGGGGGAAAACATCAAAATGTGGAGCCAAATGAATGGGAAGTCAAACGACTACACAGATAATCAGAAGATCAGGAATTGCCGATGAGGCGATATATTGACATTATTCGGACTGTTATCCTCATCTTCATGGCCACACTCACAACGTTCCGGTCGTTTCCAATCACCTGAAGCACGCCGGAGCATGCTTCAGGTGATTGGAATCTCTCACATACATTCATATCTGCTCAAAGCGTATCCAAATGTAAACAACTGACGTCACACATTATGAAATGGACAAAGTCCGACAATTATTTTAAGACATTTTTATGTTTATACATTCCTAAATAATTGTTGGGCTTTGTCCATTTCATAATGTGTGACGTCATTTGTTTACATTTGGATACGCATTGAGCAGATATGAATGTATGTGAGAGAATCATGGAAGATTGTAATTTTAAAACAGTAAAATCGACCTTGCTAATCGAACGATCCTCTGTGGCTCAATCGGTTAAGGCACGCCAGGCTATATGATGGTTCTGTATAGGATACAGGTTCAAATCCTCTATGAAAATTTCTCGGATATTCAGGACGATAAATGTTATTAATACTGTTTATTATAAACAGAGCATTTACCTAAATATTTCTATCTATAAAAAGAATGTATAAACATAGAAATCTTAAAATAATTGTTGGACTTTGTCCATTTCATAATATATATATATATATATATATAAATATAAAGTGCAAAAATCCTCTTCAAATAAATGATGTCGACCCAAGAAAAAACTTGAAAAATTTGAAAAAATTTTGGAATCTTAACAGGGAAGGAAAAATAAATGAAGCCTAAACGCCCAGAATTATTGGCGTTCTTAGAAAGTCCAAAAGAAGCTGTCAATACGTTTGAAAGAATTGCAAATACGAGGAACAAGATTCACCATCCACACAAACGCACATTGCTAAAATCAGATAAAGTAAGAATTTCTAGAATATGTCTAGCAAAATGCCAATTACTATTTATCTGAGTACCTTTTTGAGTAAAATTATTATTAATAATAATAATGTTAATAATAATGAAAAACAGCTGCAAACCTTTATGAACATCATTCTGAATCAGTAGTTGAAGGAGCATCTGTGGGATTTTTCTACAATTACAGCTCGAACAATGCAAACACATCACCCAGACAATATTTTTAAAGACATTAAACATTTACACACTAATTGACATAAGCGCACCAAATGACAAAAACATAATTTGCAATATATTTTAAAAACTAAGTCAATTCAAAGACCTGCGCATGGAAATATAAATGGAATTGGCACATGGAACTAAAAATATTGCTGTTTTCCTGGAAGCTTTAGATTTGATAAAGATTGGAACTTAAGAAGAAATCAACAGTATTCCTGGCAGACCATCTCTCCAAGAAATCCCCTTCAAATAATTCTAACAATCACGGCCCATATCCTGCAAAGAACTTTGTCCATTTAAGATTTCTTTTCCTTATTTGGTATCTTTTGTTTTATTAAGTGGAAACAAAAAAAAAATCACATCCTTCGCTTTGGTCATTGGGTCTGACCCGGTGTAGGATTATAAAAGAAATTCAGATCAAAAACCTATTCATAGTTGAACCGTAAATTATTTGCTGACAGTTTCTTTTCTCACACTTCTAGCTTGTGGAAATTTCTTCTGGCTCCATGCTTTAATCTTCAAAAATGTAAATGCAATGTCAATCGCTATCTATTGTTCTTCTGATTACTCTACTTTCGTATCTTAATAAATCTTTCTAACTCCCCAACACCCCCTGTGGTCTCAATGGCTTTACTGCCTTGCTTGGTGTAACATCGATTAAAAAATAAATAAATAATAAAATAATAATTATAAAGATAATGATAATGCATATTATTATTATTATTATTATTATTATTATTGTTGTTGTTGTTGTGAATGACATTTTTGTAGCAACAGATAATAGTTTACAGTTTCTGGCAGACAAAATTTGCTATGAGGCAATCATGTCATTGTTAATCGTTCTTTCAATCTTTTTTTTCTCCATGAAAATCCTGTATCATATCTTGATAGGTTTGCTTAACCCAGAAAGCATTGCTTCCGGGATTAAACTCTTTAACAATCAAAGTCGTAAGTAAACAATAGTTTAAACTCTAGCAGCACAAAAACAGACTCCCCCCCCAGCTGCAGGCAACGAAGCCTCAAAACATGCAAGTCAAAATGCAAGTCAACAGAAATATATCCAGCCATTTTATTAGAACTTACAAAAAGTCAGTTTTAAAACACATTTAACACAATGCTTTATTGACACATCTCAAGCCTATGACACTACTCGTAATTCTAATACTAATACGACTGCTATCCTTATTATCCTCGTTATTATTATTGTTGTTGTTGTATGGAAGGGTAGATATTATTATTCATTTTTTACTAGAACTCACCTACTAGCTATCACCTAATAACTATCACCTAACAATTATAATCTAATACTAATTATATTTGTTGTTGTATAGAAGGGGAAATATTATTATTCATTTTTATACTAGAACTCACCTAATAATTATCACCTAATAATAATTGTTGTTATTGTATAGAAGGGTAAACATTATTATTCATTTTTATACTAGAACTCACCTAATAATTATCACCTAATAATAATTATTGTTGTTGTTGTATAGAAGGGTAAATATTAT